AGACTTTGTTCATGAGGTTTCCCTGTATTGTTCAGGAACCAAACAAACCCACGAACTGCGGACCACCTCTGTGCTTGTTAACCCCTATTAAGCTCTCCTGACACCTCAATCATCATGGATTCTAAGTGTTCCGCTGGCCATCTTGTTCGCACAAACGCAGGCAGCGGTGTATGGTCATCGAGTGAATGGAACTAAAATCGGACATTCTAACATGCGAACACCACTGAACTGTAAACAACCCCCTCTCTTGTTACTATTTATGTCAGGAGAGTGCTAGTTGGTAGGATTGTTTGCACGAACCAGGCAAACAATCGCTACTTAGGAGCCAGAGGATCGGTTCGGTATTTTGTTCAGTTTTAGACTCCCGAAATTGACCGACCGCAGAGGCGGCACTCTAATTAGGCGGTTAAAGCAGCTGTGTGCAGTCTGGGGTTTCGTGGCCCCTAAACTGCCATAGGGCAGACTGTGTCACTTGGAGGGGGCCCGGCGGCTTGCTGGATTTGCCGCCGGGTGCTAGGCCCCTCCATGCCATTTGCCTGGGAGGAGAGCGGCCATCGCAGACAATGGTTTGCAGCTCCGCAGTGTGCAGAGCTGCAGACCATGTGTCTCATGAATTCTGACCACGGCAACGCTCTAAATGGTCCCGTGAGATACATGGTCTCTCAAGACCACCAGGGAGCGTAAAAAGGTATTTAATCACTCCCTCCCAGTATTCTCGCCCCCCCCAGCATTAACCTTCTCCCTCCCAGTATTCTCTCCCCCAGCATTAACCCTCTCCATCCCAGTTTTCTCTCCCCAGCATTAACCCTCTCTCTCCCAGTATTCCCCCAACCCCTGCATTAACCCTCTCCCTCCCAGTATTCCCTCCACCCCAGCATTAACCCTCACCCTCCCAGTATTCCCCCCACACCAGCATTAACCCTCTCCCCCCAGTATTCCCCCACCCCAGCATTAACCCTCTCTCTCCCAGTATTACCCCACCCCAGCATTAACCCTCTCCTCCTGTACACTTGCATTAACCCTCTCCCTCCCAGTATTCCCCACCCAGCATTAAACCCACTCCCAGTATTGCCCCACCCAGCATTAAACCTCTCCCCCCTGTATACTCCCACCCCAGCATTAACCCTCTCCCTCCCAGTATTCCCCAACCAGCATTAACACTCTCCATCCCAGTATTCCCCCACCCGTGCATTAAACCTCTCCCCCCAGTATTACCCCACCCCAGCATTAACCCTCTCCCTCCCAGTATTGCCCCCTACAGCATTAACCATCTCCCTCCCAGTATTTCCCACCCAGAATTAACCCTCTCCCTCCCAGTATTTCCCCCACACCAGCATTAAACCTCTTTCCCAGTATTCTCCCCACCCCAGCATTAACCCTCTCCCTCCCAGTATTCCCCAACCAGCATTAACACTCTCCATCCCAGTATTCCCCCACCCGTGCATTAAACCTCTCCCCCCAGTATTACCCCACCCCAGCATTAACCCTCTCCCTCCCAGTATTGCCCCCTACAGCATTAACCATCTCCCTCCCAGTATTTCCCACCCAGAATTAACCCTCTCCCTCCCAGTATTTCCCCCACACCAGCATTAAACCTCTTTCCCAGTATTCTCCCCACCCCAGCATTAACCCTCTCCCTCCCAGTATTCCCCAACCAGCATTAACACTCTCCATCCCAGTATTCCCCCACCCGTGCATTAAACCTCTCCTGCCAGGCCCTGCCCAGCGTAACCCCTCTCCCCTCCCAGTATTCCCCCACCCCAGCATTAACCCTCTCCCCTCCCAGTGTTTCCCCCACCCAGCATTAAACCTCTACCTCCCAGTATTCCCCGCCCCAGCGTTCCCCCACCCCGGCATTAAACCTCTCCTCCCGGTGTTCCCCACCCCAGCGTGGCTTACTTATTCCCCACCCCAGCATTAACCCTCTCCCTCCTAGTATTCCCCCCACTCCAGCATTAACCATCTCCCTCCCGGTATTCCCCCCACCCCAGCATTAACCATCTCCCTCCCAGTATTGCCACCCACAGCATTACCCTCTCACTCCCACTATTCCTCCCACAGCTTAACCCTC